GGACACGTGGCACCCCTCGTCTGACACATCGCGTCCACCATGCCACGGTTGGTATTCAGAAAAATTACATCCCCACAACTTGCCCCTAGTTCTATTAACTCGGCATTCTGAGGTGAATGGAACGCTATTCCGCCATTTTTGGCCACTTCTTTTTCTGAGTAATGTTCTGTCAATGACCCGAACCACCCCTATGGGTTAAGGACAATAACCGGCCCAGTAATCCTAAGGATTACCTACGGCCTCAGACCAAAACAGCATGATCTGTCAAGAGAAAAGGGGCCAACGGTAAAGCATAAATAAAACTTTGTCCATAGAGCCGTCTTATTGCACATTAACAGACCACATTTAGTTACGTTAATAACCCACAGTTCAAAGTACAGTTTCACAGCAATTCATTACAAACAGGATCATGCCAAAACAAGTCAACCTATGACAGACTATTTACATAATTACATAAAGTCCCTCGCAAGACAAAACATAAATACAATAGCTAAAGGCAAGGGTAGGTCTCAAGAGTAGAACGCAAGGCTGACTTCCTCAAACTCGATTTATCCTAGCAGACTTCACTGGGGCTGGGTTTTTGGACTTCCCTTGGCTCACCTACAAACACATGAATGAGCCGTGAGCGATAGCCCAGTGAATAATATCAATATAGCAAGTTACATATAACAATATGTAGAACAACATGCTCTAAATGGCCTTGGCAATTTCTTACTCTATTTAACGAATATATATAATATACGAAATTCAAACAAGTAACTGTAGGTTATCTAAACATTCTGGCACAAGCATTCGGCCCATTCGGATTTCATCATGACGAATGGCCTTGCGGCCCATTCACTTATGTGAAACGGCCTTTTGCCCACTCTTTTATGTCAAAAACGGCCTTTGGCCCACTCCTTATCATACAAACACGGCCTTACGGCCCACTCATTTCTGTCAAAACGACCTTGGGTCCATTCATTTCATCAAAAACGACCTTTGTCATTCATTCTTATCGAAATGAAACCCTATGTCCATTCATTTACATCAAAATATATCAAAACGACGCTTCGGTCCATTCGTTCTTATCAAACGACCTTCGCTCCATTCATATCAAAGAGAAAAAACGACCTTCGGTCCATTCATATCAAAACGAACCTTTGGTCCATTCATATCAAAACGACCTTTGGTCCATTCATTTACTCCTGTCAGACTTTTGTCACAATCCCAAATCAACAACTTATAGAGTTTATAGGGAAATAACAATTGGAATCCATTTGCAAGCTTTCAAATATTGATATTTACTCACAGTGATCGGTTGATGGATGCGCCCTTGAGGCTTGATCTACACATTTTCATGAATACAAAAGGGTCACTAACAGTTTAATCCGTTCTTTAATTCACATATTCCTCGTTAGGCTTTATTTCTATCTCATTAACTCATTTACAATGTTTAACATATGCCTAAGAGTGCTTACAAGTGAAAGAGAACGGAAAACGAAACACAGAACGCACGAACAAAATTCCAGGAAACAGGCTCCCCGCTCGAGCGTCAACTTATCCGCTCGAGCGGACCCTTAAGGCCTGCAAAAGTACTGGTTGCATGAAAATTACGCTCGAGCGTTAAGTAGGGCGCTCGAGCGGAAGGCCTATCAAAATAGCTCCCACGCTCGAGCGTCAAATTCCTCGCTCGAGCGGGAACCATGTCTGCAGAAAATGCTGGGGGCTCGATTTCTACGCTCGAGCGGACATCGAAAATCTGGGTTTTCCAGATTGAGTTCTTAAGCTTCATCTCGACATTCAAAGGCTCTAAATGCATGATTTCGGTCCAAACTTCACATAATTATATACTAACATGGAATCATAACATATTGAAGCTCAATTTCATAATTTATCTACATGCATGTCCCAAAATGTGTCAAACTCAATCATTAACATAACGAATTCATGCATTTAAGCTTATATCTTCTCAATTCATACATGCAGGTCAATTCTTGACTCCATTTCTGTTCCAATCAATGCAATGGCGTTCATTCCCATGGAACACAACAAAAACATGCTTGCATGTAGGATTTAACATTCATATTTCCATATTCCTCCCAATACATGCTTGATTATGCAAAACCATGGTGATCCTATACATGCATGTGCACTTTAACTTCAAATTCATCAATTAGAGTACAACTCTTGTTCTTGATCACCAATTAACCTTTAATTCACAAAATCACAAGTTCAAATTCATGAATTCATAAACAATCACTTACCTAGAAGCTCAATCTATGGTCAGTTCTTGAGTTGGACTTCAAATTCATAACCTTGGGCCAAAATGTACACAACTTTCTCCCTCACTCTCTCTAACAGCCGACCTCCTCTCTTTCTTAGAGTTTGATCAGCCAAAAATGAAGGTATATGAGAGAAGGAGAGGTGTAGTGCTCAATTACAAGAAGCCCCACTAGCCACAATTAAGATATTAAACAATTTGAGCACAATGCCATTAAATAATTCAATTTAATCTGGTCCGAATCAATTTTTCAATTAAATTTCACCGTAGGCTCTAAAACTTATGCCAATCAAAATGGCGTAATCAATTTCGGGTTCTATGGCCGATAAGGCCCTCAATTAAATTTCCAAAGCTGATTATTCAAACAGATATTCCTACGGTGAACAGATAAAACTTCAAAATCACATATATTCACATAATGGCACATAAAATCATGGTAAACACATAATCATACTCAGTTTAAGGACCAATTGGCATATTACGGAACAGGGGTATTACAGGTTCAAAAAACTGTTTAGCCGAGATAATCCTCTTCCAGCCGACGTGTTCTCTTCGGAGAATAAGGATTCGATCGTACTCTCCCACGCGCATGAGCTGTCATGCATGTCTAACCGTTCCTTTTCACGTGTTTTGTTTTCATTGGAGCGTGTCTGTGACGCGCCTGAAAGCTGTCTGTTCGTTCGTCTGCGCCGTCTGACGCGTGCGTTGCTCTAGGCGTAATAATTGCCCTAATTTCGCCGCCGTTTCACATTTTTGACAAAACTTTTCCTTTGCCTCTATCTTTCCTTCACTTTTTCATTCTGCCTTCTTGCTTTTTCTCTCTCTGAAAGTTCTTTCTTCTTCGAGTCTGCCATTGCGTCAATCTCTCTTCTGGAACTGCTGTTAACCCCTCATTCTTGCGAAGCCTTCTTTGCTGTTGCAACCAATTTCTGAGCTCGGCGAACATTGCCCCGGCTCCATTCGTTCTGGTAAGATTCATTCTCTTTAATGTTGATTTCTCTTTATGTGCTTTTGTCTGCCTGTTGCCATTACTGATCTTGTTCGAAGCCTTGGATTTATTTGTATCTTGAATTTATGGGTATACCTTGAACTTCTATACTTTTTCACCATTCTCTTTGCCACTGTTCTTGGTTCTTTTTTCTTCCCTGTATCTCTATTGTTTCTGAGTGCTATTCCTCTGTTCTTGAATCTGAAACTTCGTCTTTGTTTTCTCTTTTTTGTATCTGCCCCAGATCTATGCCTTCAATCTTGATCTTCATAGTTCTTAGGTTTGAGATTTGTGCGTATAACCTTCCAATTTAGGGAAAACTGAAATAAGCCTTATCAGCCATTTCTTAGATCTTTACCGAGGTTCTTGTAACCCTTCCTAAAAACGCCCATCTTCTGAAACATATTTTAAATTGACATAATGGGTATGTGGAGGCATAGGGTAAATACCCCAACAAAACTTGAATACTTTAGGCAGGAATTCTCTATCCCAGCCGATGTTCATTTTATGCTGTAGAGTGATTATTAGTTAAAAATTGCCATCAAAAAAGTCACTAACTTTCAACTTTTAATGACAAACGTTTTTAATTGTAAGTTTTAGTAACAATTTGTAAAAATCGTGACAAAAACAATCACTAATTATTAATTTTTAAAGACATGTATAAAAAATTGTCACAAAAAATTATTTTTAGTAATTATTTACTTGGACTTATTTTCAATAAAACTTTATAAAAATTAAATCTAATTATTAAGACCTATTGGTAGTTTATCCTAAAACGGTTTTTGTTTCTCAACTTGATGTAAAGCCAGCCCATGCTTATAATTTTGCAAACTATACAATGGCAAGGAAAAACATAAATTTAAGAATAAATGGAGAAAAAAAAAATATATATATATATATATATATTGTAGTGTACAAATAGAATTTTTCCCTAGAGATTAAATACAAGCCTACTTATGAGATGACGATGGGGAAATTAATCATATAAATAATAATTCAATGTTGAAAATTCAAACTCCTTTTCTTTTATTTTGAAAATGTAAAAATTCTTTGATATTAGTAGGCATGTTGCTATATTCCTTTCATGAAAAAAGAGAAAAACCCCATCCTCTCTTCTCCTTTTTCTCTAATTTTATCTCCTATTCTCCTCGGACCATCCCTACTATTTCTCTCTCTTCTCCCCAGTCACAACCACCTTGCATCACCGCCGCTGCCACCACCAAACATTAGGACATTCTCCCTACAAATCCCCCAAGACACTTGCACGCACTTAGTTTTCTTTGATGAATTATAGTTTAAATAAATAAATAAATAGCATGAGTGTGCACCACACAAGTATCCTTCTTTCTGGTGTTTTAAAAATATTAACTTCAATAAACAACTTGAGGTTGAGAAATAAGTTCAGAAAAACGCATTTGGGAAACAATTTTTGAAAGGGCTTGGGTTTGGTAAATAACTTCAGATTAGAGATTAGAGCAAGGATCCTCTAGAGTGATTTTTTCCTAAAGTTTCCTAAAGTGCTACAGTGTATGGTTGAGATTTACTGGCAAGTCACAATCTCAACCATACACTGTAGTACTTTAGGAAACTTTAGGGAAATTTCACTCTAGAGGATCCTTGGTGTAGAGATTAGTCCCAAGAAATGAATTATGATCATCACATTTCCAATAACCACAAGAAACTTTCACAAAAAATCCTAAAGCAGTGAAATGTTAGATATCACCCACAAAATATGGATTTATCAGAAGGAAAACAAAAAAACAAGAAATAATTAATAGAGAGAGACTGATTTTAGGAACAAGGTGCTGATCGAAAGCAATTAATTTTAATTGACCTAAATAAAGTACGCAATACTTTTTTTTATCTTTCTAAGCTTCAAATCCAATTCATACCTTTGACATGAGGACATTATAAACCTAAAATATACAATGGTAAAATACAATTGTAAACACAAGAAAGTTCATCTTTGAACCTGATCAGGGGCGTGATTGCTTGTGGTTGATGACGACCCTGTCCTACCATTTAGCATCATCCCGTTATCAACAGGCGGAGGAGACATTCCCCACTTTCCCTCTGATTCCGAGGGTTCTATCACTTTAACATACCCATCTGTCAATCCAACAGCAAATTGGTTTGGCTCCTGTGGATGTGCTGCAACGACAACAGGGTACACCGCTTGGCTTCTGCAATATATTACAAAAAGAGGGTTTAGCATATGTCACAGAGAGAGAGAGAGAGAGAGAGAGTACAGCAACAATCATCAAATTTCTAAACCATATGTCGACATCCCTTTTCAATGAAGGACAACTGTCTGTCATACGATGCATAAGTGAAGCCAGAAGAATATTCAAGAAACTAGGATTTCAAGAGAGAAATACTGACGGGGAGCATAAAGGCATTGGATGACAATAAATTGAAGAATATATGAATAATTAGGAATTATGATTTAATAGGATTTTATTTCTTTATTAATGCCTTCCAATTCCTTACTCCACGCAAAAATAGAAGAGAGCCATAAATGTCGTAACAAAGGATTTCTTGTGGAAGTTTAACAGGAATAAACCATGCAATCAAACAATTCTATTCATGAAAATCATTAAATGAAAAAATTATAATAAATACTATGCACACCAAAAAAACAATGAAAATGAGAAAAGAAAATATGTAAATGGTTCCATGTATAAATTTCACAGCATCATTCAAGTAAATATAAATACCAAAGGAAAATTTTCAGGAACAAAGCCACGATGCCCTTACCCATTTATCACTGCTGGGGACAAGTATACAGATGGGGAAATACGGCATCGTAGTCTTAAAGTATCTGCATCAAATACCCCAATATTGCCATCGCAAAAGGAAGTATAAACTAGTTGACTGTTGCAGGAGTATGCTGCATATGATATAGGGGCAGGAAGGACATCTTGTGGGACCCACTGCAAGGAGAATTTTCATTAGAAATATAAATTTTATATAGGCAATTTTAGTACCAGATATTTCCTCGTTTGTTTCCTGTTTCCTGTTTTTTGTTTTTGTTTTCGTTTTCGTTTTCGTTTCTTTTTTTTTTTTTGGAAACTGGAAATGTAAACTTGTTTGGTATATTGTTTTTGCTTTCAAAAAAGTGAAATTGATTCCAAAAGTTTCAAAAAAAATCTGGAAATAAAAAGAAGTGTTTAACTTATTTAAAAACAATTTTTCACTCCATCATCCGTGCCCCCTCACCTCAGGCCCCCCACCCATTGCTACCGCCAGCTAGGGGTGAGCATGGTCCGGATTGGACAGGATTGGGGGTAAAACCAGGACCAATCCGTTATTTACGGTTCCTGAAAAATTCGAACCAATCCAATCCGTTTAAATCATGGAACCAATCCGAACCAATCCATTTAAACACGGATTGGATCGGTTTAGGACCACGGATTCACATAATTAAATAACAAAAAAATGTATATATAACACTTTAATTTCATAAAAATATAAACATAACGTTATATTAGTTTCACAATAGCAACATGTCTTTCTATAATAGCGACATACTGTTCTAGAATTTAAACCACCATAAGAAAATTGGTTTCACCATAAGTATTTAAACCATTACAAATTAAAACTAAAAACTAACAAACAAAAGTTATAAAAGAAGATATTATGCGGGTTTAGGTTTGAGTTTAGGTTTTATATGGAATAAGAGAAGATACTACGGGGAGGATGTATAATAAAAATATAGACTATTTGTATACGGTTCGGATTGGTTCCAATCCGGAACCATGGGGTTCAATCTGGAACCAATCCGTGGACTACGGATTTTTAATTGTTCAATCCGGAACCGAACCACGGATTCAAAAAACCAATCCAAACCTATCGGATTGGACTGGACTGGATCGGATTACGGATTTCACAGATTCCTTAATCAGCCCTACCGCCAGCCACCATCTCTGTCAACTCACCATACATTTTTTTTTTTCATTTGTTTTCAAAACATTTTTGTACACCAAACAGGTTGTGTTTTTTTTTTCTTTTTAATTTTACAAAAAAACAATAACCAAAACTTGTTTCATATTGTTTGTAAATAGAAAATAGAAAACTGACAACATTATCAAACAAGAGTACTTAGGTGCTCTTCCTACCTGACGAATGCGATCCATCTTGGAGGCATCATATAATGCTATCTGTGTTTCATGGGATACCAGCAAGCGGATTTGATCAGAGTGGAACTGAACTCGAGTGTCGCCACTAGGAGCCTTGCCAGCTGGCAATT